ATAAATAATGGTAGATCACAACAAGTCCTTCTGCAGCGTAAGATGACTCGGTCCAACTAGTGGGTGCCATTAGTAAAGTCGTCGTACATGATCGCTGTCAGGGGAAACCGTGCTGCTCGGACGTGATGATGTTACAGATTTCCAGATATCACAGCAATATATACACCAGGCATATTCGTGGTGCTATTTTACCCCTTTGTTTAGAAGAGCAAATGTACGTGGGTTATGTAGATCCAAGGAAACCAGTCTCATCGATGCTAACATAAATAATGTGGGTAATAAAATTATTTGGCAAAAGCCGACATACCGATTAACCGACAAATTCAAACTACAATACTTGGCGCCATACTGATTGTTCCACAATGAGAGAGCTACAACGTTTTCAAAAAGTAACATTCCTAATATGAAAAAATTAATTAAGTAGTAGACATCCTGACTTGGCAGGTAGATGACCAATTTATAAGCGGACTTAGAAATTTTGGCGTGATATTTAACATATGTGGAGGCTAAAACTAAAGAACGTGTTTGGAATACGAGTTATTCCTCTTCAATAAATATGGTTGAAATAGTGCTTAATAGAGGAAGCTTACGAAGAAAGTGCACGGATTTTACGCTAATCGGATGCGTAAAATTTCAGATAGATGGCACAGGAAAATGGAAGACATAATCAAAGATGTGGGTTAAAGAAATATAAAAGACGAATCTGTAGTCAATAATATAAAATCACGAGCACTAGATTTTTGATTCTCAATTAAATGGAAGCGTAACTGTGTCTTTATAATCGGAAAAAATTATGAGTAGCTTCACCTACTTGAGCACTGCCAAGGACAATTAATCATGAGACAAAGCAGTTAAAGCACGCGAAACAGGTGAGGTTGGAAAAAATTTAGTGAACGACAGGCAATAAAACAGTTTGGAGAATATAGAGCAGGGAGGCACGGGTTGAAAATTTATTATAACCTAGCTCCGATGCAATTTTCCAGTGATTACTGCAGTTGCCTTGTGCTGTTTAGTGGATGTAATTTGATTCCACGATTGCAGAATGGGATTTTTGCTGACGACGGAAGTTTCCTATACAGCTTATCGTTCGATGGTTTACACAAAAGAATAAAAGCAAAGAGCACTCACCTCCATCGGTGGGTTTCATCGAACTACTTGGGGCAGTCCTGTTTGGCGTTGTACCCATCCCGGTGGTTGTGGTGTCCTCTGTTATAACTAGATATAGAGGAATTGAAAGCATTGCAGAATTAGTTGTTTTGAAAGCAACTCTCTCGTTGCCAATATTAAACGCTGGTTTTAGGCTTCTTAAATCCATGGTAAAGATGGCAAATTTCAGCGGTTGCTTGCAGTCATGATTCTGAATTTAGATTTGAGTCAAGCCATCCCAAGCTGATGGTTGCCGTTAACAAAATTTACCAGTTCATTGTGCATATTAAAATAATGCCATTGACAATTTCGACAGGCGTGCTACTTGTTAGTGGCTTACGTAAAAAGACCTGTGGCGTTGTATATGACTTTAATTAACTTGCAAGATGGTGTTTGTCCTTAATTCCTTAGATAGTGACGTACTCTTATGCAGAAATGCTTGTGGAACAGAGAGTGTACATAATAATATTGGAAATTCGGTTGCAATTTCTCTCAGATAGATCACATAAATCATGTCGTTGAGGTGCTTTTATGTGTGACGGTTATTACCATTGCCCAACGGTAGTAATATGGGAAAAAGAAAATGTAGTCTGGAGAAGAAAACAAACAAAACTACGACTTTGATGCAGGTTATATTAATGGACAACATCTGTTTAGCTTCTATGGGAAACCGCTTTGTCGCCATGCTTGTTTTAATTGGTTGATGAAAAATGAGTGAACTTGTTAGTTAAAAATCAAGGCGGAGGTGACATTTAACTGAGTGCACGATATGTGTAAACGGTGCTGGATGTTGAGCAATTTTACAGTTGTCCCTATACGCTGTTTCACTAGTGCCTTATCTACTAGACGAATTTTACCGGTGATTACAGACGACTACAGCAAAGCAATTGTGCCGCCAAGTTAGGAATGGCATGCGTCTAATGTTTTATCCATTTCCATGGGAAATATGTGTATGTGTAAGGGAAATAAAGCTCATGTGCCACGGTGCTTCGGCTGTGATGTTTTGTTCCATATTTCCTGCATTGGCTCATCCGTTGACGTGTTTCGAAAATCGCTCTATATCTGACATTGGTTGTTTCAAGTTAAATGTGATAAATATCGCGGTACAAGACACCAGAATACGCAGAGACCGCAAACAACCACGGGAAAGTCTCTCTTTCATATAGAAACCAACCGTTCACCACGTGGGATCAAACGCCCTCGTGGAAGCACCTCTGTCACCTGGCCTTGTATTGTCACTGCACGATCTGCACCACCACGAGCGTCTTCGACCCCGGCCGAGTCTGTAGCATCCACACGTCCGCACGCACGCACACGCAGACGGGACGTGCAAGCTTGGCCGATACAAGGTCACTTGACCTTATCGACTCATGTGAGAGTTGAAAAGACACACAACATAAGCATCACGTGCACCACAACCGAGGAACGTCAACGGGGCTGACTATACGCGATGCGATCGAACAGCGCCTTATGCCCTATCGTGATACATTGTTAAATTGTGTCAATCTATTGCCACTTTTGACAATCTATTTTCCTACCTAATCTCGGAGTTTTCACTATTATTTGTTGGGTTGTTAAGTACTAATACGCAACCGTATTCCCCTATAAAATCCCAACAAATTTGGTGACTTTGACGTGACCTAACATGACCTCCGAAGACCGCTGTTTGATGTCCTCTGTATCACATCAACCAACGCACAGAATTGACACTGTTTCAGTCAACCTCCCGCCGCTTAGGCATCATGATCCAGCAATCTAGTTCGGTCAAGTCGAAGCACAATTCCATCACCGGAATATCACACAACAGCCAACCATGTTTTACCATGTGCTTTCTGTGCTTCCACCTGAAGTTGCTGCGGATGTCCGGGATGGGTTACAAGCCCCAGATCAAGTCACCCCTTTCAACACTTTGCGCGACACTATCATCAAACGGACAACGATATCAGAATATAAGCGTCTGGAACAACTCCTCAACGGTGTTGATCTTGGTGAATGTACACCATCACAGTTACTTCGTCGAATGTACAACATTTTGGGAGATCGCCAGCTTGATTCCGCTCTTTTCATCCAACTGTTTTTGAAGCGCCTTCTTTCACATGTACAAACAATAGTGGCACCGTCGGTTGACACCGTCCCCATCGACAAACTGGCGACTATGGTTGATCGAATTTTAGAAGTTCAACCAAATTCAACTTCTTTATCTTCGATCAACTCAGCGACGGAAACAAAGTCCATTGCCGACCAGATTAAGCTGCTTTCCGAACAAATCCCTGAACTTAGAGCCTCACACTCTTGCCAATTTCGATGTTTTTCACGTCGAAGATCAAACAGCAGAACTTACCGATCGAATTCTAACAACAGACAGTCTGACAACTACTGTTGGTACCACAACAAATTTGGTCAAAGAGCAAGGAAATGTGTTTCTCCCTGTTTGTTCAGAAACTCCCAAAACTATGCTCCGCCAGGCCGAGTGTTAGGGGCACGTAACACTCGTGGCTATCAAACCCAATCTCGCCGTCTTTCTGTTGTGGATCGTACTTCTGGACTAAAATTTTTGATTGACACTGGAGCAGACGTTAGTGTTATTCCCCCGCAACCCACAATCCTCTCCCTCCTGGGAATTTTTAGGAACTGACTGCTGCAAACGGTACGAAAATACGTACGTTTGGTCAACGTTTGCTGACGCTTAACTTAGGGTTACGACGTGAGCACCCTTGCATTTATCTTATTGCGGATGTTCGCCAGCCTATTTTAGGTGCGGATTTCCTTACACATTTTAGTTTATTAGTTGACTTGAAAAACCGTAGCCTCCATGACGGTATTACTAAGTTTTCTGTGTTCGGTGAACCTATCATTTGTTCCCAGTCTTTTCCATTGTTATTGTCCACACTTTATTCAACGTCCTATTCTTCCATACTTAGAGATTTCCTTAACCTGCTTAACCCCAATTTTCACCAGACTAATCCCAAACATTCTGTAACTCATAGGATAGAGACCCGTGGTAACCCCGTTTTTGCTCGCCCCCGACGTATGCCACCTGAACGCTTACTCATCGCCAAAAGGGAATTTCAACACATGCTCCAACTGGGAATTATCAGGCCCTCTCACAGTACTTTTGCTTCACCCTTGCATACGGTCCCTAAGTCAACGCCAAATGATTGGCGCCCCTGTGGTGACTATCGAGCCTTAAACAACTCCACTATACCCGATAGATATCCCCTTCCTCATATCCACGATTTTACTGCAAACATGACCAGTTGTACAGTTTTCTCACACAATGACGTTCTCAGAGCGTATCATCATATCCCTTTTCACCCCGATGATGTGCACAAGACAGCTATTACCACTAATTTTGGTTTGTTTGAGTTTTTGCGTATGCCCTTTGGTTTAAGGAATGCTGCTCAGATCTTTCGACTTTTTATTGACCAAATTCTCCACAATCTGGATTTTGTATTCTGTTATTTAGATGATATTCTCGTTGCTTCCAAAACCCATGATGAACACGTTACCCATCTTCGCATACTGTTCAACGACTACAGGATCATAGCGTAGTACTTAACGTTCAGAAATGCGAATTTGGTGGTCCCTCTTCAAATTTTCTCGGACATACGATTAATCAGCATTGCATTACTCCCGCACAACCTAAGCTAGATGCTATCACCTCACTATCACCTCACTATCACCCCACTTCTCTTCGTCAACTGAAGCGTTTTCCTGTAATGGTTAATTATTATCGTCGTTTCATTCCTCATGCAGCCGCTATGCTGATGCCTTTGACTGACCTGGTGAGAGAAACTCACTCTGACTTTTATTTTTCTGAACAAGCTCAACAAGCATTTGAAAAAGCCAAATGTACCTTAGCGAAACAATGTACCTTGTTTCATGTGCGCCAAGGTGCCCCCTTATCTCTCCACGTCGATGCATCTAACACTGCAGTAGGGGCTGTTCTTCATCAAACCGTTGACCACCAGAAACAACCACTTGGTTTCTTCTCCAAGAGACTTCAGCCAACGGAGAAGCGGGATAGTGTATTTGGTCGAGAACTTTTGGTCATCTATCTAGCTGTGCCTTACTTCCGACATATTTTGGAAGGCGGTGAATTTTGCACCTATTCAGACCATAAAGCTCTTGCTTCTGCCTTTTCTGTTAATCGTGACAAACATTCGCCCCGAGAAATTCGCCAACTTGATTACACCTCTCACTTTTCCACTGCTATCCGGCATGCTGCCGGCAACCAAAACGTAGTCGTGTTACTCTGTCTCATCCTGGTGTTGATTGTGTTTCCGCAATCGATTTACACCAGATGGCGAAGGCTCAGAAGACAGAATCATCCGAATCATTCTCATCACCCTCTGAGGAATTTTCACTTGTGTTAAAACCACTCCCTCTTGTAACAGTCTGGAGATTCCCCGGTTTGCCTGTGTAAAATTCTAACCAAAATTCTATAATTGTACACGTAGGCAACCGGTGTGGTTTGTTGAACTGCTTGCTGAGTTCGAATGCTTTACTTGCTCATCGCCATTTTTGCTTGGCGCTCGTTTCGGTTGCAACGCGCAACTGCCCTGTGTGCTGTGCTTGATCCGTTCCCCTAGCTAGAGCGTCCACGGTGTCGTTCTTTTATAGCTAGATAACAGGGAATCTTTTACTGTACCAATAAACGTTTCCCTGCAACTCGATCTGTCTTCTCGAATCGCTCTCT